CCCTCAGCAAAACCAAAGGCGAACTTCAAAACAACTAAGAAACACCGAGCCCCTTCCCAACGAGAAGGGTTCCTTCCTCAGCGCTCCGACTGTACCTGCGAAAACACGTGCTCCCGCTCGAAGTCGTGCGCCTCTGGTCGCCAAGAGGTCGGGATAAAGACCTCCAGCCTCCTCCTGGGGTCCGTCCTGGCAGGAACTTCGAGGCGGCTCTGGTCGCGGCCACGACAGGCCAAGAAAGACGTCCGTCCAGAAGAACCGATCCTCTCTCCTCCGAGGAGGGGGGCGACCTTCCAGGAAGGCGCGGGGGCCCGTAGCCCCAGAAGGGTCCAGAGGTTTCCCAAAGGCTCCCCAGAAGCAGGGACGGCCTCTCAGAAGCCACCTGCCTTCTCAGAAGCCCCCCGCAGTCTTGGGAGGCCACACCCCCTGCGCCAGTCCCTCGGGAGGAGGGGGAGGAGGAGGGGGGAAGAGCCTCCTCCAGGGGGCGAGCGCCCGACTCCGCGCAGGGCGCGAGAGGGAATGACTGAGTGAATGAGTTCATGATGTCCTCTGGACATCGGCGTGACGAGCAACGCTTGCCTCGTGACTAAACTCCAGACCTTGAGGTGCGCCTTCCTCCGACCCCCGCCGAGGCACGACTGCACGGCGGAGGCGGGGGGAAAGACAGAGGCGGGCGCGCCAACAAAAAAGACTGCCCCGCCGGTTTGCTCACCCACGGCCACCGCCCCTATGAGCATGGCCACCCAGAAGTTCGCCAGCGCGCCGTTCGTCGCGTTGAGCTCCGCGGCGCCGAGCAAGCAGCACTGCAGGGCGCCAAGGATGCAGAGCAAGGCGCGCTGCCCGCCGCGCCACAGCTTCCAAAACTTCCGCCTCACCAGGCGGTCCTTCCGCCTCCACGCCCTCTTCCTCCTCCGCCTCCTCCTCTTCCTCCTCCACCTCCTCCTCCCCCTCCGCCTCCTCCTCTTCCTCCCTCTCTTCCTCTTCATCCTATCCCCCCCCTCTGTCTCACCCTCAGACGTGTCGGCAGGGCGGGCAAGCGTTTCGCCTGAGACGTCCTCACCGTCTGTGTGATCCTGTAGTTTGAAGGGGCCCCAGGACACAAATACATACACACAAGAAAAAATATTCCCCATCTTTTTCACATGTGTCCTGGGCTTCTGTCTTCCCCCCACTTCCCATAGTTTCCCATATCTTCTGGGGAATCAAGGGTTAATTGTGTCTGTGTGTTTTTTCCTCTCCTGATAGTTTGAACTGTGCAGCAGCTTCACGAACGGAGGGCGGGTCGTTGTCAACTTGCGCCTCTGGGGCGTAGCGCCGCCCACAGCCGCCTTAGACTTCTGCAGCACGCTCGAAGACGGGGACGGGTCGTGTTCAAAAAGCGGTTTTCGCTTTAGCACCGCGCAGCTTCAAAATGTGGCAGCTTCAAAATGTGTACAAGTGTTGCGGCAGCTTCAAAATGTGGCTCTCGCCCAAGCGCCGCGGACATTCAAGTCAGGTGCGAGCCAGTTTCAAGAATGGAGGGCGGGTCGGTTTCAAAATGTGGCTGTCGTCGTAGCACCGCGCACATGCGTCTCAATGTTTTGCAGCAGCTTCGGAGATGGCGGAGACGCCGTGCGTTGTATGTAGTGTGGGCCTGGGCGCCGAACACCAGTTTCAAAGATGGAGGGCGATTGGTCTTCAAAGTGTGGCACTCGCCTAAACGCCGTTCACATTCGCCTGACATTCTGCAACAATGCTACGGCTTAAGGGCGGTTCCTTTTGGACGAATGGACTTGGCCTTAGCGCCGCGCACTTCGCCTGACAAGTTAGCAGAGGCTTAAAGGATTCGCATAGATCCAGTCCCAGGGATGGTGTTATGGCACGAATTAGGATTGCCAGGATGCAGCAGCCACACAGATTGGCGGTGTTGAAGTCTCACGAGCTGCATTCTGGCTGGGGTTCGGATTGGCAAGACGCAGCAATCACGTTGACCCGCGCCGTTGAAGTCCCAGAAATGGCGTGTGAGCACCGTCGAAGACTCTCGAACGTGTGTCTCCGCATGGACAGCTTCCCGCACTGAACATACATTCTCCTCCGCCTCCTCCTCCTCCTCCTCCTCCTCCCCCTCCTCCCCCTCCTCCCCCCTTTGTGGCAGCTTATGGGAGCCTCCCATGTCATCCTGCTGGCTCTTGCGAACAGACGCCGGATCGGCGCCATTCGACCCCAAATCTGCGCTCTCGCATCGACTGCCAGGCGCTGGCGCACGCCGCTAGAGCACCCTGGAAAACGGAACTCCGAGGACATACGAGGCTCCCATGAGTTGCTGCCGAATCCTCTTTCTTTTCTTCTTTGCTTGTGGTCCCCCCTCCTCCTCCCCCCTCACGCTCCTCGTACCCACCCCCTCCCTCGACCCTCCACTCCAGCCCCCCGAATCCAAGAGTTCCTCCCGATCTCAGCCTCCGCCTTCTTGTCGTCCCCATCATCAGCAGTAACATTACCATCTGTTTCCGTCGTCGTCATCACTGCTATCAATATCATAACCACTCCCTCCTCCTAATCATCAAAACGTTCACCCTCAGGATTCCCCACTTCTGGTCACCTCCTTCGCGCCAGATACCGAAGCACATGAAGGAGTATCAATGATCGGCCTGGAGTGACAACGAACGCAACATCGATATTGCTGGCGCGCTCCATGAGAGCCACGATTGCACGCGCTAGGCCGGCACATTTCGCTGACTACCTGGAGGGCGAAACAAAGGGCAACCTGTGTGTCCCGATCGGCTACTGCGCATGTGCAATCAATGTCGGCCACTGGCTCTACGCGAGCCATGTGGGAGCTTCGGCGTGTATTCAAGACTGTGAAGCTTCCAAAAGGTCAGGACGAACTTGGGATCGTGCTAAACATGCGTTTGGTAGGTCCTTGGCTGCTAAACATGCGTCGGGTAGGTCCTTGGCTGCTGAATTGAACGGTGCAACAACAAATGTTGCATGATGGCGTGATTTGTGTAACGTTGCGGGAAACTCTGTTGTCGATGCTCCCGAAAGCAGGTGACTTGAGGGGTCAGCAAAAACTGGAGGCCCGCAGCTCGCTGCGCAAAACCTGGCAACTCTGTGCACGTCTGCTTTATATCACCTTAATGGAGGTGTGCTGCGGGTACAGCAGGTGTGCAGATCGAGCTGGTTTCCGAAATAAGCGACCGCTTGGCATCATCATCATCATCATCATCATCATCATCATCATCATCATCATCATCATCATCATCATCATCATCATCATTATTATCACCATCATCATTCTTATCATTGGTCGTCCGTTGTCGTCGTCATCGTCCATTCCCAAACGCATCAGGAGCGCCCCGGATCGGCGGCACTGGCCGGAGGCCACTACAATAAGCGATCGCTTGACGCGTTCCTGTCTTCGAGATGTTGTGTGGTGAGTGCCTCTGGTGGAATGTATCCGTGCAGTGTTGGTGTCCGGACCTGGGCAAGGCATTCGACCAGATCGAAGTTCAGCAATTCCTTGAAGCGATGCGGAACCAAGAAGTGGGGGACGAGTACATCGCCACGTTGCCTGCGGTGCGCGTGCGCCAACAAAGGTGAGCGAATACGAGGAGCCCGACTTTTTGGCATGCAGACGAACAAGCTTCAAGCAAGGCGACGTGCTGAACCCCCTGTTGTTCTATCGCCAGCGTCGAATCCGTACTGCGCACGCAGGTGCAGACGGGAGGGAACAACATTCGTGTAGACCAGGGGGGTTAACGAATAAACACCAGATGTGCACATGATATCACGATTGTCGCAATATCACGTGAAGAGTTTCATGTTAAGGCGAGAGCGCTCGAACTCGTAGGAGTGAGTTTGAAAGCAAGAGAAACAAGGTGCTCCCAAGGGTGAACAACACTGTCTTGCTGCCTCTGGACATTCATGGGGCGCCTGTGGGCATCCTTCACGGCGCCATTGATCGTACGTACTTAGGGGAGGAAGCTTTGCGGGGATCTGCGATCAAGGAGATCTAAGGCGGCCCACAGGAATTCAGATTGCGTGACTGCGCTTGCACAAGCCATCGCTGCATACTGATAGCTGAAAGAACTGAGCGCTCACTCTCGAATATATCACCTCCAGACGATCATCACACCGACGCTTCTATGACTCTAGCGCAGGTGCACTCGTTGGAATAGGTGCAACGACGGAAGATTTGGAAAAATGTGGCTGGAGTTCGGCGGGAAGGCGAGCCTTGGTAAGAGATAGTGAAAAGGATTATATTGAGCATCAATTTTGCTTTGAACAACGTACCCGAAGGAACTGGTAGTCCAGTAGGCACCATGGTGGATTGATGGCCTGCTCGTATGTCCCAATGGCACTCGCCGTCAACAAACACGGGGGCGATCACCTGTGGGATGGAATGATCGTCTGCGCAAACATTCGTACGCCCACTTCCAAGCCGACTGGCATGAAGCAAGCGCAGACAATGAGCTCCTGCATGCGAGGCCGCCTCCGTCCGCTTTTACCTCTGGCACCCACAGTGGCGCTTCAGCTGTAATCCATTCGCGCCAGACTCTGGGCGGAGAATTGGCTCGACCCGACTGTCTGCTTCACTATGTATCCTCGTTCTCAGCATCATGTTCTTCATCATCATCATGTCCATCAGGCTCATCCGAAGTATGAGAATGACCGTCACGATAATCACAATGTTATACTCCTCCCTCCTCCTCTGGTCTACCCCATCCTCATCATCCTCATTCATCATCCTCCATCTTCTACCCCTCCCTCACCTCCACTCTCATCCCCTCTTTGCCCTCCTCTTCGAAACCCACCGCATGCTCCTCATCGACTCCTCCCGCGCCACTTCTCTCGATACATGCAGTGGGCTCGGTACGCCCTGTGCGCCCACTGCAGAGTGGAGAGCAACGGCATCGCCATGAGCCAGGCCTTCGGAGAGAAGGCGACGTTGACGACGACGCTGAAGGCGACGACGACAACGAAGACCACGATGACGGCGACAACAAGCTGACCACTACGACCGCGGCAACGACCATCACGACGACGATGACAACAACGACATCGACAAACCTTGAGGGCGAAAGCAGCGTACCCAGCGATGTCGTCGCCGAAGAGCATCCGGAATGGACCCCCTCCGCAATCGCCTCACGGGAAGGAAATGATACATCGCCGCCAAGCTTTACTAACCCACTCTCGACGCGTGCTTTGACGGAAATGGCCTCGCCAGGCCGGGAGCCGATGTCTATCGATATCTCTGCTAAGTCGGGTCTTTGAAGGCTTGGTGGGATGGGATCCTTTCACTCTCCAAATCACCGATCCCATATCCACTATACGTAACGACTTCCTCGGCGGACTCCAGCTTGACGCCCAAATCGAGCAAGCGGGCCTCCACCCATGAACCAGCAAGCGATGTCGCCCGCAGCCCGCGGAAGGAGTCCTGCGCCATCGCGATCCGGAGCGCGATACCCGCTGCAAAGGACGTGGCGAATGATGGCTCGTTGCCCAGAGCAGCTGTGGCTGTCACAGTTGCTCCCAGCAAGCACATGTGCATCACCGACATCACGTCCTTCAATGACCACGACCACGCCAAATGGAGAATCTGCCGGTCATCTCGGTTTGAAAACTCCTCGACTTGCTGCGCCGAGACACCCAGAAACGTGTGGACGACTCCGAAGAAACAGCACAGCAGGTGGTGGGCCTCGTATGTCATCTTGGGCACCTGTGGTCCACCCCAATGAATCTGCAGACCCCACTTTCGAGGCCTCAAACTGCGCGCCGTGACGTGGCATTGGCTTCAATGTTGCTGAAACGCTGAAAAAAATTAGCCGTAGTAATTGTATCCTGCCCCTCCCCGTTGCAAATGCCTCTCCGCAAGCCCTCCCAAAGGCACCTAAACAAACCACTGGGTGCGTTGCGCCACCCGCGAAACGATTTTTTGCAACCCAAACTGGATCCGCGCCCACGGGGCCGCGACACATTGTAGATCATACAACCTGTGTGCTACAAGGTCAACGTTCACGTGTGAGATACTGGGGATCCGCGCTGCCAAATCAAAAAGATCCCTACACTCAAAACGTGTAAGGACGGGCAGTAAGGACGCAAGACCCTTGGAGGCCGAAACTAGGATTGCTGGGCGACGGGCGACCAGCGAAAACGGGGAAGGACGGGCCGCAGCGACAAAGACACAAGGGCACCCTGGATGAAGGCGCGCGTGCGCGTTGACAGTGGCACATTACAAAGGATCGGCGCGACCAAGACAATGACCCTTGAAAATAACAATGGATCTGCGATCCCAAAGGCTACGATCCTTCACGAATCGCCAAAGACCCGCACCCAGAAGGCCACCTAATCCGCGTACGTTATGAGGCATCCGCGCTCACATGGAAACACTCCCTTGTAAATTACCACTCCCAAAAATCCGAGCCTTCGAAACTTACCGATATCCAGGCAATGGTCCCCTTCTAAAGTATAACTAATACGCGCTCCCAGGCTCACGATCCCTGCAAAATGATGCTAGATACGCAATCCCACAGCCATCTATCCTTTGGGTGATAAGGCTGTTGCGTGTCGGATGGGCACAGCTGGCCAATTGCGATTGACATCCGCACGGATTCGCACTAACCATATAAATATATAGAGAGAGAGAGAGAGAAGAAAAAAACTATAGAGAGAGAGAGAGCACCACGCGCGCGCTTCGCGAGATTCTGTCCTAGTGCGCCAGTCACTCTAGAATCAGCTGGTGGGCACGACCACCAATGTACAACGACTGAGACGTAGGGATGCGAGATCGTGGATGACACCGAGTGGGGGGCCGAATGGGCTTACACACGCGCATGGGTGTGTTAATTACACACGTTGCTGCGCGGTGTTGCGCAAGCTAACGAATACACACGTCAAAGGGGAAGGGGAGGAGGAGGAAGAGGAGGAGGAGGACGGTGGTGGTCGGCTCACTGGACCGCCACTATCGTATCTTGGGATCTGGGGACGCCAAGAAGCTCAAAACTGTAGGCATCCAACGTCAAGCCTCGATCCTCATCCTCATCCGCCTCCTGATCGAGGCGGCATTGTGTTGGTGTCGCGTCAGGTCTGTGTCGCTGCGGGGCCCTGTGGGGCGCACTTGAAACCGCTTGTGGGGCAATCGTGGCTGTTGGTGCGCGTCTGCGGGGGCGCCGTGTAAAATTATAGAGGTCGTCTTGGGGCGCGTGGGGCCCTGGCGTGGGGTGGTTACTATGAGGCTCCTCGGCGCGTTCCTCGAGCTCTCCCAGGCCCCGAGGAGGTGCATCGGATACCTCGAAGGGGGCCCCAAGGTAGCATCAGGTACGCCTGAAGATAGCCAACGACAGGCACAATGTAAGCACGAAGCCGACGCGCACACACATACCTAAAACAACGTACTGAGAGAATTGTGTCGGAGTTGTGTCGGCCTAGGGCGCACTAGGGGCGCACTTCAAACCGTCGTGGGCCCAATCTTGGCGATGTTTCGGAGGGCATCTAGCGGAGCGTCTTGAGAGCCTGCACAGTCCGTCTTGGTGAGCTTGAGGCCCTGGCGTGGGGGTGAGGCTCCTTGCAGCTTTCCTGAAGGCCGTGTGCGAAGAGAGAGTCGCGACCTGCACTTCACGAAACTGCAGCATAGGGCGGGATCCTTCGCCAGGCTGGGTGGCTTCTCGTCGGCTGGCCTGAAGCGCAGTCTGTGTGAGGGCCTTGTTAGTACCTCCTCCTCCGCCTCCTTCTCGGCCTTCCGAACGGTCTCTCGGCGACCGTGTGGGGTCTGTTGGGGCTATTTTGGAACTTTGGTGGGCTGTCGTGCGCGCCTCTTGGGGGCTTTTGAAAGCCGTGTGGGGCCGCTTGGGGTCTCTGAAGTCTTGGGGGCGCCTCTTGGGGTCCCATGGGGGCCTCGAATGGACTTTTCGGAAGCCTGTGAGTGTCCTCTTGGAGGCCTCTGAGGAGCTGGGGGGGGGCCTCTTGGGGACTCAAGAGGGCGCACTTCGAGCTTATGAAAGGGCCTGTTCGACGATTAATGGTCTCGGATGCCTATTGCAAGCCTCTCTTGGAGGCCTCGGAAGTGCACGAGGTTGGCCTCTCTGGGCCCTCGTGGAGGTCCTCTAGGACCACTCTTGGGTGATTCTCGTGCCTTCTTGGGTCGTCCGGGGGCCCTTCAAGGCCTCTTGCGGGCCTCAAAAAAATATTCTTGGGGCCCTCCCGGGAGCCCCCAAGAGGCGTCCAAACTGCCTCCAGGAAGCCCCCAAGAGGAATCCCACGAGATCCCAACTAACGTCAAATAGGCTTCATACCCACAACCTATGCACGGTTGCGGGATGGACCGAACGTCATTAGATACGAAATCACTCAGTAACCGCCGATCCCACGATCAAACTCCATGTCTACTTATCGCTTTTACGATTGACGTATCAACCTCAAGGGATATCGACACATCGACTGGTTTGCTTATCGATCTCACGACCGGGCGATCAAATGACATGTGTATGCATCTTCTTGTTGTAATTCCAAAGATACTCACCATTCCGTGCTCAATTCGACATGTATTTAGACTTGTGACTGGATGTGCATATCGATGACTATTACAAGGTGCATGCTATCTCGAAGGTGTTTCGCACTTCAGGTAGCACGGCGATTGCCCTTCCAGCGGCACGGTCACACGCACGTGCATGCTGACCTCGATGCCGATCTGCACTGGCAGTCGCATGTCGAACTGGGATCCGGTGCCACGTGGGAAGTGATCTCAGATTTGCATGCGCATGCCTCCACCTCCTCCTCCTCCTCCTCCTCCCCCTCCTCCTCCTCCTCCTCCTCCGCCTGCTCCTCTCCTCCTCTCCTCCTCTCCTCCTCCTCCTCCTCCTCCTCCTCCTCCTCCTCCTCCTCCCCCTCCTCCTCCTCCTCCTCCTTCCTCCTCCTCCTCCTCCTCCTCTCCTCTCCTCCCCCCTCCTCCTCCCCCCCCTCCTCCTCCTCCTCCTCCTCCTCCTCCCCCTCCTCCTCCTCCTTCCCCTGGCAGGTGCGGCTTCTCGCCCCGGTGCCCGAATCGCGGAGGCTCGGCCGAGGGTTCCGCCCGAGGGGGGCGTGCGCGTGAGCGCCTCGTGGGCGGCCCTTGCGCGGTGGCCGGGTCTGCCGAGCCTCGTCGCCCAGGGCCCTTCGCGGCCGCTCCGCGCGCTGGCCCGGAGAAGCCGTGAGAGGGCAGAAGAGTACAGGGCAGGTTTTGATACATCGGTATTTTGTTTTTTTGTCAAACAAAAAAACAACATGGGATGTTCAATACATGCTCAATATATGAATCAATGTATGCATGAACTCATCATTGTTTTTATTACCAAATCCCTGCATTTTTGATTCATGATCCGCACGCAGAGCATGTATCAAAAACTATGGGCACCAACACCAAGACAGGGGGTTGCCTCCACAGAGAGAAGGTGACCCCAGATGTCGGTGTTGGCGGTGATGTTTCGACCACCTTGGAAGCTAGAATCGTACCACCATCACCGAGATCGGGATCTTCTTCCCTCGGTGGAGGCACACCGCCGATCTTGGTATTGGTGTCAACCTCCAGGCCTGCGGAGCACGCCAAGAATGCCCCGAGGAGGCACCAGGAGAAGCGCAGCTGGGCCCAGAAACCGCCCAGAGAGGGCCCAAGGCCTAGACCCAGTGGAGCCCCACGGGATCGAAGCGGGCTACCTATCGGGCGCTGGCAGAACTGGGTCTAGTGGGACCTGGCTTAGTGATGTGGACTCGGGGGCGCCCCCCAGGCCCCGTTCCACTAACCGGAACTGCCGTCACCCGAAAAAACACCAGCTACGGCAGACCTGGTTCAGTGGTTCTGGCCAATTCAAGGGCTCTGGGGCCCTACTACTAACCGGGTCCCCTTACCTGGGGTCCTGGCTATACCCGAAGCTAGAAGAGGGAAGCCGCGGGGACGGCCCGAGAATGGTTCCGACAGAGTCAAGCCGAGCCCCAAAAGAGGAAAAGAAGGAGTGCGTACGACAAAGCAAATGACGACAACTGTGACGAAGGAGCATTCGATGCCTGGAGCCGGGGGGGGAAGGGGCGGTGACCAAAGGCCTTCAAACAAATTGGACAATATTGCTACATCCATTGATCCATCCCTCCTCATCATCCTCATCGTGATCATCATCACCATCGCTCCTCCATTCTTATCTCCCACCGTCTCCACCTCCCTCCGTCCTCCCCCCTTCCCCGCTTCCCTTCCCTGATACCCACTTGCGCAAGGCGTGCCCGATGAAAATGGAGGATATGAAGCCGTTCATGACCTGGCCCACGGAGATGAGCATGAAGAGAGGGATGACCTACGAGGACACCAACTAGGCACCGACACCGATCAGGGTGGCGGCCAAGAGGGGGGCGTCCAAGAGGGGGGGATGCAAATCATGGCCAGCGGCATGTGCGCGGTCCAAGGGGGGGCCAGGGACGCAATGAAAGAAGAAGAGGTGCCATGAAATCTGGGAGATATCATGGCCCACGCCATGATATCCCCCCCCCACTCTAGTCCTCACCCCCCTCTCTGCCGCCCCCGAACCGAAACTGGCCAGCGCAACCGCGGTCCGACGACCCCTCGGACGAGCTCTCCCGGCTGGGCCGGGAATTTGGACGCCCGAAACGGGCACGGAAACAATGGGCACAATGCCCAACAGCAAATGTTGCCCCGAACCAACAGCGGCCGCTGTTGGGCAGGCGGCCTCCTGTCTCGAACAGACACAGGCCGCGGCGACACCGACAGCGAGTCCTGTTGAGAATGAACATGAACTGCTGTTGGGCATCGTACCCATTCTTTCCGTGCCCATTTCGGGCGTCCAGAGTCGGCCTCTGGCAGAATCCTGCAAGATCCTGCAGGATCCTGCACCCAAGCCCGGGTCAGTGCGAGAAGGATCCTGCGAGATCCCGCAGGATCCTGCACCCAAGCCCGGGTCGATGCGACCGTGTCCCTGCAGGATACTGCAAGACCGGGCGCTCTGGCTGGCTCCCATTTGCATTGACCCCCGTCTCAAGGCTCCCGATCTGGCCGCCAACCCCGAGGCCCGGGGCGCGGAGGCCCGCGGCCGCACCCGCCGAGCAACCAAAGACCCCACCCGGGGGCCCGGCGCCCGCCCGAGGAGGCACCAAAGCTGAGGCTCGCAGGGACAGCAGCGGGGAGGCGCCGCCGCGGCTGCCCTCCGGGCTCGTGGGGCGAAGACGAGACAGGAGAGGAGGAGGAGGACGACGGAGAGGCGGAGGACGAGGACAGCGTGGAGGGCGAGGAGGGCAGCAAGAGGAGGCCAGCACGACCAGAAGCCTCCAGGAGCGAGCCTCAGAGGCGACAATATGTGCGGAGACTCCACACGAGGCCCGTATGTGTTGGTTCGGGTGCTTTTCGGCTTCAGAGCGATTCGGATCAGCTTCCGAGCGTCTCAGGAATCCTCCAAGACAGCCCAAGGCGGTCCAAAGAGCTCAAGAACGCCCGAGAATCCTTTAAAATGCTCCAAGGAGGCTGCAAGGCCGCCCCAAGACATGCTCAGATGTCCCTTAGCTGGTTCTACCGAGTCTACTCAGGAGAGCTCTGAGTGACCACCCAAGATGGCACCGAGACCCCGTACAAGCCCCCGAAAAGGCCCAAGAGGCGCTAAAGAGGCCCACATGAGCCGCAAGAGGGAAACAGGAGGACGAATGAGAAAGAACGTGGCTACGAAGCCGCGGACTAGAAGGGGGTGCCCAAGACCCGTGCCAATTCGAACGAGGTCACCTTCCTGCTGCGCTGCGGCGCTGGCACGGTGGCGGGGCGTGCCACCGGCAGCCGGATATAGACATGCACACGCATCTGGCCAGGCCCATCCTGGGCCCAGGATCAGTGCATTAGGGGGCCACATGCGACGCCTACCCCTACCCCCCACGATTTCTGAGGGCGAGGGTGGGGTAGGCGTCGCATGTGGCCCCCTAGGATCGGCCAGGGAGAGCATACGCCGCTGATTCTCTTGGCCCCGGCTGGGCCTGGCCAGGGGCGGTGGCGTCCTGCGCAGGACTCCCGCCGCCCGACGCCAGGGGGGCCGTGGAGGGCCCCCAGCAGAAGACATAAGCACCCAACAGAACTGCAGATACAGGGCAGTTTCTAATACAGAGGATGTTTAGAAATATAAGATTTGTCATAAATGATTAATTTAGGAATACATGTATCATCGTTGTTTTTCATACTAATCCTTGCATTCTCAATGCATGATCCGCACGCGGAGCATGTATTAAAAAGGACACTGTATGTAAAATCCCGGGCTGGAGACCGTGTTTGCCAAGCGTGACGGAGCCGACGCCGCCGACGGGGCTGAAGCCGGCTACACGGCTACATGGCTACATGCAGCAGATTTCCTCCTCCACCATCCTGCCCCCCCAACACCATGCGAGCGAGGGGGGGAAGTAAGAAGGAGGAGACCTTCTCAGAAGGCTCGGGAGTGTCACAGCCTTCTGAGAAGTTCTCCGAGCCTCCCCGAAGGCGCAGAAAAAACTGCTCAGGAGGCGCGAGAGTTGCTGAGAGGTCCCGCCGCCTTCCGAGAAGGCCTTCTCCTTCGCACTTGAAGGGGCCCACAGACACACAAATAAATACAAACAAATAACAGGAAACCCCATGTTTTTTCTTCATATGTTCGGTGTTTCTGTCTTCCCCCCCACGTCCCATATTTTCCCATATTTTCCTGGGAGTCGACGATTAATTGTGTCTATGTTTCTTTCCCTCCTGATCACTTCCGCCCCCCCTCGCTCGCCGCCGAATCCTAGGTCACTTCGCGCCTCGCGCCCAGGCGATGCGCGACGCGCGAGCATGTTCGCGCCGCCGCGCCCTCGCGCCCCCCCCCGCCGGAGAAGGGCAGCAGCTCCAGGCCAGGACCGCGACGCGCGAAACGCGGCCATCCCCACGCCCCCATAGGGTGGGTGACCTGGCGCTCCTCCTCCTCCTCCTCCTCCTCCTCCTCCTCCTCCTCCTCCTCCTCCTCCTCCTCCTCCTCCTCATTCTCCTTTTCCTCCTCCTCCTCCTCCTCCTCCTCCTCCTCCTCCGCCTCCTCCTCCTCCTCCTCCTCCTCCGTCCCGCTCCTCCTTCTGCCTGTCGGGGAGACTTCAGACTCGGGCTCGGAGGACTCGGATGGGCCTGACGGGGCCATCGAGAAACTGACGAGACACACTCCGAACTTGACGCGACCTCCCGCTGCAAACATCCCACCAAAACCGGACTGTCAAAATCCAGGACGCGATCGTCAAAAAGCGCCGTCGAACCCGAGTTCCAGCGTACTCGAGTCTTACGTTTCCCCGATCCTGCTCCTCCTTATTACTGGCGAACGGTATCCGATGACCGGCTTGGTAAGGATCAAGAGCAGGTCGAACTGCACCGCGTCGGCTGCCTCCTGCCTGGCCTTCAATGGCTCCTTGTGGCCCCACCGAACAACAGAGAAGATGCCCTCCGGCATGGGCCCCGCGCCGTGGTTGAGGGGCTTGCCAGCGCTGACGGCCGTCGCGCCTGCCGAGGCCCGTGGTTCCTCCGCCTCCTCCTTTTCCTGCCCCTGCTCCACTCGCCGCCTCCTCCTCCCGCCTTTACCTCCTCCTCTTCCTCCTCCTCCTCCTCTTTCTACTCCTCCTCCTCCTCTTCCTCCTTCTCCTCCTCCTCCTCCTCCTCCTCCTCCCATCTCCACCCTTATAATCCCAATCATCATCAGATTCCTCTTCCTCCGCCCACTTCCTTCGGAGCTGCACTGGTTCCCCTCCCACTTCCTACCTCCTCCTCACCCACCTTCCTCCCCTCCTCGTCCTCCTCCTCCTCCTCCTGTTCCTCCTCCTCCTCCTCCTCCTCCTCCTCCTCCTCCTCCTCCTCCTACTCCTCCGTTGCCTCCTCCTCCTTTTCCTCTCCATCCTCCCTCCCCCTCGCTGTCCTCCCTTCTCTCTCACGCCTCCTGTCCTTCCTTCTTCCCAGGGCGCGCAGTGGCACACAGTGTATGGCCCTCCCTCGTGGACGCGGGGATGCAAAGGAATGTGTCGAACCTTCTTTCAGTCTCGAACACTCCGTCTGTGACGCGTCTTGAGCCAGTACGTCGACGTACGGGCTCTATACTAGTGCAACTGTGGGGCCTTAAAATCTCTAGAGGCCCTAGAAGAAAAATATGAGTACGAGGTAACAATTTACTCAGGGAGGGGGAGAGAGGGGGCGGTCGGAGGGAGAAAGAGAGAGAGAGAGAGAGACGGGGAAACCAAAGGAACTAATCAGATGCAGCTGCGAGCGTCGCAAGGAATTAACCTTCTTATCGGTCGTAGCGCGCCGCGATAGGAATCGGGCTTAGGGCAGTGCGGGTATGGAGCTTCGGACCAGGCACGCAGAGGCGACCTGAGGTCCCCAAGGTGCGCCCACTGAGATGAGAGCCGAGCTTCCGTCGGGGAACGAAACATGTGAGGAGAGGTGTCGAGATTGGCGCGGTGCCGCCAAGCGGGCCCTGCCGCCTTGCGGGGGGATCCTGAGGGGGGGGGGGGGGACGCCGTGCGAGCCCTGCCACAAGGGCCGCAGGCAGAGCCAGGTCCCCATGGGCCCACGAGGCGCGGAGGGGCGTCCCAAGCTGCTGGCAGGCACGACGTGCGGCCTGTGCCCACAGGGGGCCGCAGGCGGGGCCACACCTGTGCGGCCACGAAAGCGCGGCAGGGCGCGCCGAGCTGAAAGCGGGCGCGCCGTGCGGGCGCTGCCGCCGGCCGCCGGGGCCTCTGGTGGAGCCCCCCCCCCCTGCTGGGCCCAGGAGGCGCGCGAGCGGCGTGCCAGAAGTGGAGGTGGTGCCGCCCTGCGGGCGCCGCCACTGGGGCCTGCGGTGGAGCTCCCCGTGGGGGCCGTGAAACCCGGGAGGGGCGCGCCGAAGAAGGGGGCCGTGCCGCCCTGCGGGCGCTGCCCGAGGGGACCCGCAAGTGGCGCTGCATAAGATTGCGGCCAAGAGGCGCGTGAGGGGTGTGCCGGCATGTGGACGGCGCCGCCATGCGGGCGCTGCTTCTGGTGCGGGCAATGTCTATATCCACATCCAGTGCGTCTTGGAGTTTCGGACTCTCTTCCCAAGAAACAGGAGGCGCACTGGATATGGATTATAATCTGCCTCCAGAAAGGCTCGATGTTTATCCATATCCAGTGCGCCTCGGCCTTGCGGCGCCCCTTCCAAGAAAGTCCAAGACGCAGAAGATATGGATATAAATATTGCCCGCATATGGGACCCTCGATGGAGCTCCCCGTGGGGCCACGGAACGCGCGAGGGGTGTGCCAAAGTGAGGCGGCGCCGCCATGCGGGGCGCAGGGGTCTTCGGCGGGACTCTCCCGAGTGCAGCAGCAAGGCGTGTGAGAGGTGTGCCGAACTGCAGGCGGCGCTGCCAGGCGGGCGCTGTCACTGGTAGAGCCCCCCTTGATGGGGCCACAAAACGTGTGAGGGGGTGTGCCGAAATTGGCACTGTGAAAGCAGAGTCCAGAAAGAGAGGGGGAGGAGGTGAGGGCGCGGCGCTGCGTACTGGCAAGAATGGTTGCGGACACTGGCAAGGAAACGTCGCCGAGAGACAGCAAGGGGGGGTGAGGGGAGGAGAGCATCGCTGTTCAGAGGCGGCCCGTCGTCACGGACCGATCGACTCGCGTGCACACCCGAGGCGATCGAATCGACGGAGTCGCCCACGTGGGTGTGCGTACGGGCACCGTGCCACCACAAGGAACGCTGAAGAAAGAGTCCACGGGCCTGTCTGGCCACGGCGAGCCTCGGCCGAGAAAGGGCTCCCCGAGCAAGATCTCCCGAAAGGCAAACCGGGGAAACCTGCAGGAACCTATACGGCTGCTCCCCGGACCTCTCCCAGGATGCGTTCTGACCAGAAGTCCGAGGCGAATCCAGCGGTGGCGGCGAGGGCCTCCAGGGAAGCCCGAAAAGGGGAAAACGGGCGAAGTGTGGCGGGATGGGATCTGCAAAGGCTTCGATGGTGAAATCCTGTCGTCGTCGTCGTCGGTCGTCAGTCGTCGTCGTCGTCGTCGTCGGTCGCTCGTCGGTCGTCGGGGGGGGGGGGGCCGGCGCCGATACAAGAGATCCGCACGAACTCCGAAAGATTATGTTTACGCATTGGGCAGTGGCCGGCCGTCCTGGCTGCCATAGGCCTACCACCTCATGCTTCAGAACAAAAACACGGCAAAAACAAAAACAATGCACTTAGACCTTAAGGCCGACGAATTTAAACAAGACGGTCTCAACCAGAAATGGTCTAAGAACCGTTCATGCAAACCGCTCAAGCTCTCAGAACATGCTGTGGTGTGACTATAGACAAGCCAAGACGCCTCGACACTGCTAGAACGCAATAAATGATACGTTGATCTCGTCCGACCCGATTGTCATGGCAAGCGACGGGCGACGCAGGTCTGGGAGGAAGAGGGAAGAGGGTGGGCACGAGCAGTAACTAGGAGGATGGACAAGGAGGTGGGGAAAGGAAGAGGAGGAGAAGCAGGAGGAGGAGGCAGGAAGACAAGCACCAAACGTACAAGGAAAACGAGCAGCTTGTCATGGCGAGCGACGGGCCCGAAAAAACCTGAGATCCCAGCTTGCTCGCATCATCGTCATCGTCGTCGTCGTAGACGTCGTCAGCGTCGCCGTCGTCGTCGGCGCCGTCGTCGTCCACGTCGTCGTCGTCGTCGTCGTCAGCGCCGACGTCGTCATCGTCGGCGCCGTCGTCGTCGTCGTCGTCCTCGCCGTCGCCGTCGTCGACGTCGTCGTCTTCGTCGGCGCCGTCGTCGGCGCCGTCGTCGCCGTCGTCATCGTCGGCGCAGTCGTCGGCGCCGTCGGCGGCG